AACTAATGATCATTCAATGATGAGGAAAAAAATTGTTATATTTTCTTTCTTATACGTGTGGTGTGTAATAATTTAGAACAGAAATGCTCACTTACTCATCGTTGGCATATTTCTACACCCACACCCGACACAATTTTGTGATCGTTTCCCATAATATCCATGTATAAGATATACTAATTTCTTGTAACATATTAATCTCGCATCCATCGTGAGAGTTGAAGAAATGTTAAATTACATTTCGTGATCTTATAACATATTAGATGTCATGATATTTTAGCATCATAACATATATGTATGTTAGTTTCTGCCACATTAGTGAGCGAAATGCTAAACGAACATTCATCGTAGGTAAAAGACAGACGGGAAGATATGTAAAAAATATTTACTGTTTACATTTTTATGATATATTTTGAAAAGTTTTGAATTTTATATCGATCATTCATAAACTGTGAAAATTATATCTTAATTCAAAATATATTTTTTTTTAAATGTCCAAATAAAAATAAATTTATAAATAAATATTTTAATTTTTTCAAAAATATTAACTCGTGCCCTAGGGGTCGAAAAAAATGTCAATGAGGTAATAAAAGAAAGAAAAAGACAAATTAATGATTTTGTTTTTTTTTTGAAATGCGAATTTATTCATTGATCAGGCCTCATCTGTACAAGCCCCAATTATGAATAGGCCCAATACTGATTGATGGCCCGTTTAGTATTATGCCAAATGTAAGCAGCAGTTTTTAAAAAAAATTCAATCAATCAAATCCTCCTTTATTTCTGGCGCTCCAAATTCTCCAAATTCTTGCCTTTAATTTTTTTAGGTTATCTCAAGTTATTTTTTGTTTATTTTCACAAAATTGAGCCCTAATTCTATGAATAATGGAAGCATAAGCAATGACGCGAACAGTGAAGAGGGAGATGGTTAACGCTAGAAGCCGTGTTACTCGAAACGGTGGACAGAACAGAAATGAAGAACATAGTACAGCTGATAACATCGGAGCTGAAGAGACTTCCGTTGAGCGCAGAGTTCTTCGTTCGAAGTACCTCAGATTTAAGAATCGGATTAACGGTAATTTGAGTATGTTCGTTTGTTATGTTTTTGGTTTTGTAATGCTTACTCAGTATGAAATTGGCTGTGTTGAAAGCATAATATAATGGGGTTGGTTTGGGAATCTGCTAATCTAATAGATGTCGGAAAATTTGGCCCAACCCAATCCCTATCTCAGGCCCGTGAATGTCTCGGCCCACTCCCGACTTGGGCCTGGCCCTTACCCGGTTTAATTGGAACCGTTGGATTTAGGGATTTAATCCCAACCCTCCACTACACCCTTAAATAACCTATCTCTCTCACTCGCCTACCACACGGTCAGATTTCTCCCTTTCCCTCTGCGACAAAAATCACTCCTCTCTCTTTTCTAGCAGCACAAGTTCGTTCTCTCTGTGAGTAGGAAAATCGATTCTCTCTTGCCCTCTCTTTCATTGTTCTTTGTGACCTTGAGTGTGAGTGACATCGTGAGAACCTTCGAGTGACCCGCTGTGAGTGAAGCCGTGAGAGCCATCGGAGTGTCACCGTCTGTGTCGCTTTTGTGCCGTCGCCGTCACCGTAATCAACCTGCCGGTTAGAGCTCTTGGTGGGGCTTCCGGCGAGCCGCTGTGCGAGAAGGAGGGATTAGGTGACGGTGAACGGGTGCGGGGCTCGTGTGGGTGAGGTGCAGCCCGGGGATTGGCCGAGGAACCGGGGTCGCCATACGTTGACCACCACCGAGCCGTGACTAAGCCGAGGGTGCCGGGAAGAAGGACGATCTGAGCCCGGAGACTTCGTGTCCTTCATTCTTCGACGGCGAACGAAAGGGAGTCCTCAGTTTCCTTCACTTTTATTACCGTTTATTTCCTATTCTTTAGCATTTTACTTATTGTATTTGCTCGATTATTGTTGCCCTTAATCACCATTAAACTGTGTGTTTGAGTTCAGGTGTAATTGGGACAAGAAAGGGCCTGTATAGTGACTGGTGGAATCAGTCCGGGCCCGAAAGGGAGCTACAGGTGAGAAAGGGGCTGAAACGGGTCAAAACCGGAGAGAAAGAAAGCTGCCGGGACCTGCTGGTTGCTGTCCGGGACCTATCGAGAGCTGCCGGGACCTTCTCGGGGCTGTCCGGACCTACCAAGTGCTGTCGGGACGAACCAGCAGCTGTTCGGGACACATTCGGGGCTAGTCGGGGCCCGGTGGAGTTCAAACTGAAGCTTCCGCTGCCATTGACGAGTGCGGTGCGACCAGGACGGCCACACAACAGTGGTATCAGAGCGTGAGCCACCGTCCCGTGGCCGCGCTGGTAAGTCGAGCACCTACCACGTAGGGCTCGCTCTGGTATTAGCTTGAACTCTCTCTTTTACCGCTTTCATTATAGACCCTGGACGGGGATTGCGTCCAGGAATTAGGACCTCTAGATGGGATTGCGTCCAGAGAATAGGATTGCGTGTTGGGAAGCTGCTAGATCAATAGGTTAGACGTGCATGCTATGTGTCAAACGTGCTTATCCTTGTTGCTCTGCTGTGGCTATTTTTCTGTGGTTATAGCATTAAATTGTGTATTTTTGGTTGTCTTGCTGCTTAATTTCAGTGAAATTTGCTTGGTGCTGAATTTCTGTTATTTTTTGAGTCTTTGTGCCTCATTTGTTGCATTGCATTGAGCTGAAAATTGCTTGATTAATTGCTGAAAATTAATTGGTGCTGAAAACTACGTGTTTATCGAGCTAAATATTAATTTGTGCTGATTTCTGTGCGATTTACGTGCTGGAAAAATCTGATTTTGGGCTGAATTTGGTGTATTTTAGTTGCTGTAATTTTGTTGCTATTTTCTTACTTGAACTGGTGTGTTATTTGTGAAAATGGCTTCGTTTCCAGCTTTTAATTTGGCCCCGTTTGACGGGAAAACTGATTTTTCAATTTGGCAACAAAAAATGAAAGGAATTTAAATCCAACAAAGGGTATTTAAAGCAGTTGAGGGCTCGTTTTCACCCGATGAATCTAAAGATAAAATTGCTGAAATGGATCAATTTGCTTATTCGTCAATTATCTTGAATTTGTCTTACTCTGTGCTTAGAAAAGTTGGTAAACATGATTCTGCTAAAGATATGTGGGAAAAATTAGAAGAACTATACACTGAGACTTCGTTGCCGAGTAAATTGTTCTTGCTTGAAAAATTTTCCGGTTTAAACTTGATCTTTCCAAAGATATTGATGAGAATCTTGATATGTTTACTAAACTTGTTCGAGACATTAAATTGACCAGTGATGAGTGATGAGCATATTGATGATTATACTCCTATTGTGCTCTTGAATGCTATACTTGATTCTTATAGAAATCTGCTATTAAGTATGGTAGAGATAATGTGAATCTTGAAACTGTTGTGAATGGTTTGAAAAGCAAAGAGCTTGATTTAAAACTGTCCGGGACCTATCGAGAGCTGTCGGGACCTTCTCGGGGTTGTCCGGACCTACCAAGTGCTGTCGGGACGAACCAGCAGCTGTTCGGGACACATTCGGGGCTAGTCGGGGCCCGGTGGAGTTCAAACTGAAGCTTCCGCTGCCATTGACGAGTGCGATGCGACCGGGACGGCCACACAACAATAGAAATATGAGCTATTCCAAATCCATATTAGGAGCTAAACTACGACTGGAAAAATAACATAGAATAAAGGAGCTCGGTTCAAGAAAGCAGCGTCTGGGGTTTGTTTCCGAGTTGGGTCTGGAATTTTCATCTCTGGTTTGGCTAGAATCTTCGAGTTTGAAAATAATAATAGTAATAGATCGAGAAGTAATCGAAAGAGATCTGGAATATACAAATCAAAGTCGATTACAACTAGATCGAACAGAATCGAAAAGAAATTGAAAAAAAAAATCGCGTTATTTGATAGAACAAGATGATGAGCAAATTTTGGGCTGGTTGCTAAATTTTTTAAAGGAAAATTTTTTGGGCCCAGACCGAACTACCCATTAAAGTTAAAGTAAATAGTAATTAAACAATACTTACCATTTTCTCCTCCTTCCTTGTTGGAAGCAGAGCGTTTCTTGGCAGCGGCTACCCCGACGGCAGGAGATCGCCGGACGGCGACAGCGGCAGGGGTGGCGGCGGTGAAGATGCTTGCGGCCTTCACCCTCGCTGAGACAATGGCGGCAACGGCAGGGCGGGTGGCGGCGCCTGCTGAAAGGCCGGAGGCGGCAACCATGAATGGTATTTTTCCTCTCGAAAGTATCTTTAACGGGTGACGTTAATGGAAACTGTTTGACGTTAATGGAGATTGTTTGTTGAGTTCTGATAAAGTAATATACATATTACCCAATTCTGTTTTGTACGAGTTTTTTGTTTTTGGCTGATTTGAATTTCTTTTCTATTTATTTTATTTATTATTTCGTTGGCAATGTAAAACAAAATGTGTTTGTACATGTTCTGGTTTGGGTTCGGCGGCTGCTGTGCTGCTGTAAAATTTTAGCCTTTGGATTTCAAAATTATTAAAAATAGATCAAAGGTTATAAATAAATTGCTAATTTTTTTCTTAAAATCTAAAATAATGAGATAAAATAGTTAAAAATTCAAATACATTTTTTTTAGTACAAGAAAAAGAAAGCAAAGTTAAAGCTAACGCTTTCCTTTTCTTGTACTAAAAAAAATGTATTTGAATTTTTAACTATTTTATCTCATTATTTTAGATTTTAAGAAAAAAATTAGCAATTTATTTATTACCTTTGATCTATGTAATAATTTTGGGACCCAAAGGCTAAAATTTTAGAGCAGCCCCCGAACCCAACCAGAACTTGTACAAACACATTTTGTTTTACATTGCCAACAAAAAAATAAATAGAAAAAAAATTCAAATCAGCCAAAACCAAAAAACTCGTACAAAACAGGATTGAGTAATATGTATAGTACTTTATCAGAACTCAACAAACAGTCTCCATTAACGTAACCCCTTAAAGATGCTTTCGAGAGGAAAAATACCATTCATGGCTGCCGCCTCCGGCCCTTCAGCAGGCGCCGCCACCCGCCCTGCCGTTGCCGTCATTGCCTCAACGAGGGTGAAGGCCGCAAGCATCTTCACCGTCGCCACCCATGTCGCTGTCGCCGTCCGGCGATCTCCTGCCGCAGCCGCTGCCAAAAAGCGCTCGGCTTCCAACAAGGAAGGAAGAGAAGATGGTAACTATTGTTTAATTACTATTTACTTTAATGGGTAGTTCGGTCAGCCCAAAAAATTTTCCTTTAAAAATATTAGCAACCAGCCCAAAATTTGTTCAATTTTTTAGTCACTTTTTCCTTTTACGTTTCTCTCTCAGCCAGCCTAATTTTTCACTTGTTCTATCTCTCTCGCTCATCATCTTGTTTTATCAAATAACGCGATTTTTTTTTCGATTCTGTTCGATCTAGTTGTAATCGGCTTTGATCTGGAATATACATCTCTTCCGATTACTTCTCGATCTATTATTATTATTTCCAAACTCGGACATTCTAGCCAAACTAGAGATGGAAATTCCAGACCCAACTCGGAAACAAACCCCAGACGCTGCTTTCTTGAACCGAACTCCTTTATTCTATGTTATTTTTCCAGTCGTAGTTTAGCTCCTAATATGGATCTGGAATAGCTCATATTTCTATTAGATTAGCAGATTCCCAAACCAACCCCATTATATTATGCTTTCAACCCCATTATGTTCGTTTGTAATGCTTGTTATTTTTGAATTATATCCCTGAAATTGTGTGCTTTCTCTGTTCCAATTTGTATGGATAAATCTTTTTATTTCAATAAATCATATGCTTGTTTGATAAATTTAACCTTTTCTTTTGTCTATGCAGATGAGAGAGATGATTTATCAAAAGTTGATTCAGATATATTCAAATCAATGATTGAAGAAGTTGACAGCTTGCATCAGTTTGGTATTATTTGCATGCTCTTCTTTTCATTGGTGTTACTACTTACTTGTCTCTACTGCTCTTTTTAAATGGGTTACTCTATTATGTATAAGATTTTGTTAGTGATCCATATGTAAGGAGTGTTTGCATAAATATGCTGGGCCACTAACAACAAAAGAATTATCCAAATTGTAACACCCCGCTTTTCCATAAATATCAGAGCGCATTTTTCGCAAATTCTTTTCTTAATAACACATAATTATTTGCGAAATCCTTTTCGGGATGCTACTAAAAACCATTCATTGCTTGGGAAATCCGTTACCTTTATTTAAATTTAACTTTGAAGAATAAACGGATTATTTTAGATCAA